TTGCTGACTGCAGCCTTGAACAATACACCGTGTTTGTACTTGTGTCATGTTGTCCTCCCACATAGAATTCACAGACAGCCAACTCAGCTGAAATTGTTTTTATCACTGTTTAGAGTTTGCACAAACTTGAAGAAGTACTCAGATTTCATGAAGGTACTTAAGTGTACTTGAACGTAAATAAAGGAGGAATTGTTCTTGTAAAGTACAACAATTTCATCAAGAACTTGAACAAATTGAACATGGTTGAATATTTGGAAAGCATACTCGAATTACTGTGTTTAAATTGAGCATGTTGAAGTTGGTATTTTTAATTAGTCATTTAAATTTAGTTTTTCTGTAAGTTGCCTGGAATAACCAATTAAATTACTTTATTGTCAATTTCCATGACAGAATTTTTTTAACTTAAGGGATGTTATATAATTGACTGTTCAATGTTGTAATGACAGTCCCATCACATGTTAAGAGTTCTTCAGTCAACTAAGTGCACTATTTTCTTCCATATACCATGTGTCAATCACATCTTTATGTGTTGTATACACAGGGCTCCAGATAAGGGCAGTATCGGCGTATGTACGGATAAAAAATATGCACGATACGGTAGGAAATAATTTAGAAAACGTAGCAGATACGCACCACAGCAATGGTGTACGGTCTTAGAATCATTTACAGACGTATTTATCTGAAAAGTATTGTTTTATTGTTTATTGACCTGTTTACACAAGAGTAGCAATGTTGTGGTGCATATATGAAACGAAACACAAGATTACTGATAGTCCATTAACTTCCATTCAGTACTCTAAATGTACACTTAAGGTTTTCCAGTACTCAGTATTGAACAAATAAGGAGTATGTACTCCTGATGTTGAAAAATTATCTGGAGCCCTGTATACATGTACAGAGTCTGTGTGAATACATGTGATGAAAACATGGTGTTGTCTATTTCAACTCTAGTGTTCAGAACCTTGTAACCATGGTAACAATGACAATGTCAGAATTGTTAATTGTGTGTAGTTTTATAAAGAATAGGGTATGAAAAACACAGGTCCTAGTGACGGTTTAGATATACATGTATATGGACAAACACTGGACTTGGTTTTATGTTGTCATATGGTGGTGTTTGTCAAGTGAGTTACAGTGCAGTACAGTACAGTACAAGAAGTCTCTTATCTTTACATAAAATAATAATAAAAAGAATGAAAGAATATATCATGAAATGAAACTGTAATTACATGAATATTCCTCCTCACAGTTAACAGTTCCAGTTGTAATAAATTGTACTTAAGTCTATTTAGAAAGTGGAAAATATACTGAAAAGGTGTTGGCATTGCTTTCAATGTCAGAACCTTGTAACCATGGTAACAATGACAACGTAAAAATTGTTAATCATGTCTTGTCTTCTCGAGAACAGGGTATTAAAAACACAGGTCCTACGGTTTAGATACAGAGTTATGCAAAAAGTATTCGGACGTAATTTCCATAGACTTAATCTAGTGTAGCGTAAATAATTTTCATGAATTTAATTTTTGTAAGACCCAAGTCAAATTTTGCACATTTGTGAGGAATCATCTTACCTACAATCACATAATTTCTGTTTAATTTTCCATTGCTTATTTATCGAATGGCAACAATATAATCAACATATGTACAGTGCCGTGCACTCCTTAACATGGCAGTCTATGGGATTGTGCGTGAGTTGATAAATATGATGTCATTAGTTAAATAGTGGTCAGAAAATTGAACTGAAATTATGTGCACAGAGCAGAGATGATTTCAAATTTGCCTGTCAGATTTTACAAAGATCCATACTAAACTCACTTCATGAAAATTATTTATGCTACACTGAAATAACAATTAAGTTTATGGAAATTACATCAAGTGTCCGAATACTTTTTGCACAGGTCTGTGTATATGGACAAACACAGGACTTGGTTTTATATATGTTTTTCAGTACTTCCTAGTTTTGGACAACTCTCATACAGCACTGTAGACTAACGCTTAGTCTCTGAATATATGTAAGTTTGATAGTAACATACAAACCCATTTAAATTGAAAAGGAGCCCCAGGGAGACCAGAGATTCAGAACCTGAGGAAATCTAGACTTGCTTCATTTAGGGCTTTAGCACTGCAGGGAGGGATAAGGTGTAGGGATAATAATGTGGTTCAGGGACTGTGAGACAGACTAACAGCAGGTGTTTATTACACTCAGTATTGTCCAACACTTACTGACAGGAAATAGATTCAAATTATATTTCGGTTTCCAAGATTAAAAATCATGTTGGTGAAACATTTTAGTATGCTAAGGCATGTCAGTCAAGGAAGTGTCTCAGTTTCGTGTTTGTTGTTGAAGACGTGTGGTATCCAGGGCCTGTTGACTAATTATGTACAAGATGTTGTGGAATTTCCTGCTGTAGAATGGGAGCTGATCTGGCTTCAGTATTGATGACCTAATTGTAGCATGTGAAATTATGTTGACAAATGTCTCGCCCTAACATGATATTTTGTTTCCTTCTTGCATGTCTTTGTCCACTGAAATTTGCGCTGTTGCAAACTGGGGCTATAATTATTTAGATGATTTTGTTTTAACTTGAGTTGCTGTTTGTGTGTAGAAATATAATCGGGACGGTGGGGTAGCCGGGTGGTTAAAGTGTTCGCACCCGTGATGGTCCGGGTTAGAATGAACCTTCAGTAACCCATGCTTGTTGTAAGAGGCGACTAGCGGGATCGGGTGGTCAGGCTCGCTGGCTTGGTTGACACATTATCGTATTCCAATTTCATAGATTGATGTTCGTGATGTTGATGACTGGATTGTCTGGTCCAGACTCGATTATTTACAGACCGCCGCCATATAGCTGGAATATTGCAGAGTGCGGTGTAAAACTAAACTCACTCACTCACTAAAGTGTACGCTCTTCACGCTGAAGATTTGTGTTCAATTCCCCACATTGGTACAATGTGTGAAGCCCATTTCTGGTGTCCCCTGCTGTGATATTGCTGGAATATTCCTAAACTCACTCACTTGGAGTCACTAGAGATCTAATCATTCTAATTTCTGTCTTCAATACAGAGAAATATTGTGTGGGAGAAAGTCCCTTAAAGACGATGTATTCAGCCGACATTTTTTGTACACACCTCATGTATAAACCAGACTTCAATAATTGTCTGTGCAGCCTAAAGTAGCAGATGGTGAACATGGTGAATATCTGTATGTTTTGGAGATTGTTTATGATATATGCGACAATAACCATGGTAACTGAAGAGCATGCTAAGATACTTTTGTTAATATTTAATGTTTATGTGTACCACTGCTGATTATTTAGGTAGGATTCCAGTGAATAGGTCACTATTGCAGCTGCTGCTTGTATTCGCTGACTTAAGAGCATCAAGTGATTACAGTATGGGACCTGGCTGATGGTGCTATCAACCACCAGTTTTTCCAGCTCAGTCTGTATTTACAGATGTCTATGTTTAATAGGGGTGACAACTGACGGGAAACAACCATTGTGATAGTGATAGTTGCAACATACTATTGCGACCAACTCTTGCAATAGTTTTTCTCTCCTTGAATTGTCTCATTTGACATTTCTGGTGTCCCCTGTCGTGATGTTGCTGGAATATTGCTAAAAGCGGCGTAAAACCAAACTCAGTCAGTCAGTCTCATTTGAAGTTTTTTCCCAAATGAATGTATAGTTTATATGAAATAAACACAGCTAGAATATTGACAACTGGGGCCTAAAATGATATCCACTTGCTTACCTGTACCAACTAAACAATGTACAACCATGACCTTTTTGTAATCTGTTTGTGACTTCTTACCAAGAAATCCAGGCAAACTTTACATTCTCCTGTTTGAATTGTTTTACCCTGTGATTACAGGTTTCTAACACAAGCACAATTACAGCTGACTCTATTCAAGTAGGTTTTCATAACTGAAACTCCATCCCGATAACAAGAGGCTTAAATAGGTTTCAGGCAATCCGGTTCTGTTTATCATCATTTGACTTCTCATAATTGATTGTTCAAGTAGAAATTCTGGATGACTGGATCCATTTACTGTATCCATTGGGTACAGTTGATAGTTTTAACAAGACAAGCCATTATATTTAACCAATCAGGTGACAGATCTCACAGGCTGTAACAGATCTGCTTATTGCTCACAGCAGACGGTCCCTGTCCGACAGTTGTTTACTTGATGTGTTTATGTCCCTGCTCCTGATAATTTTTATATGTACTGGGTGTTGATTGACACTTATTTTGAAGGTATTCAATCCATTTTGGGACACAATCTACTGGCTATTTTTAAAGCTATAAGTAAGCCTTTTTAAATGCTTTTTAAAAAAATCATCTTTTAAATACTTCTGGCTACAGCTGCGAAGAAAGATACAATAAGCAATGCAAACACTGAATACTAGCATGCATGATTCACTTCACTAGAGTACATGCATGTAATGCCTGCATTCAGCCAGTAGATAGGTACACTGGTGGAAAGATGGCGTTGGGTTATACACACGTGGAAATTCGAATTCTTTTTCAGAAGAAGTCCTCCTTAGGGTACATATAAGCATTAAAATGTCCATTTTAAAATACCTACGACAGTTGTAACAATATTTCAATCAAATATTTTACCAAACAAAAAACTCGTTTTGTTTAGTGAGACCACCCCTATAGGGCCCCTCACAGGGCCCCCTACAGCCAAGAGCAGGTAACTCTGGCTGCTTACCTCGTACCTCACTTTTCATGCTGTCGTTGACTAGAACGGTCTAGAGGTTTGTACAAATTTTGTTCCTGTAAAAACAAAAACCTGGGTATAAGTCTCAGTAGCAAAATTTGCTCGTCACGGCGAAGACCTGGGTTCGATTCCCCACATGGGTACAATGTGTGAAGCCCATTTCTGGTTTCCCCTGCCGTGATATAGCTGGAATATTGTTAAAAGCGGCGTAAAACTGAACTCACTCAGTAGCAAAAACCCTGTAAAAGCTGTATAAAGGGTCGTGGTGTTTCAGGAAGCAATGAGCACCAGCCAGAAGTTCCCCATGTCGCCTGGGCCGCCGTATGACACATCCATCCAGGACAACTCCATCAGCCTCACCCAGTACCACGAGTACCCCTCCACTCATCCCTTCATCAACACAGAGTTCCGGAGAGCAGCGGGAAAACTCTCATCATCATACCCTGAGAATAACCGCGATGGTAAGAATCTGGTTGGAAGAACCGTCTCCAGGGACCATGGTTTTCTTTACCAGGAAGAGTTAAGAACATGTTATCACTGTACAGGATATCACCCAAATGTCTTATGATATCAAATATATTGTCACAAGTTGATATAAAAAGTGAAACACCAATATCTTCTTTGATTTTATCAGAATGAGCTAGTATGAACCAGTATCTTGGGTTTTAAAACTAATAAAAGTACACCTAGCCAGCTCCAATGGCTGGGATGAGTGATGTCATTTGATTGTGACAATGCCACTGACTTTATCTGTTACAATGATGACCCAATAGGTTGCAAAGCATTGTGATGAAGTTTCATTGTAGTGATATTGTCTGAGATAATCGCTGACTCAAACAGATTCTGTTGTTATAGAAACTTGTTAGTTAAAGTATAGTCAAACTTTACTGAAAGCAACATGAACCACAAACTCACTCACTCACTGCAGCGGTAGTCTCGGCTCTACGGAATCTTCAGGAGAAGGTCCAGAAACTGGAGCTGGAGCGGTCAGCTGCGGAGAACAACCTGAAGTCCCTGGCATCGGAGACGTCCCGCTACAAGGACATGCTGCAGGGGGAGCAGGAAACCAAGGACGCCACCACCATCCTCGTCTCCAGACAGACCAAGGGTAAGGGCACACATAACACCTCCTGTCTCTGTGGCATCTTGAAGCAGTTGTATCCAGAAAGACAGACTTGAACTGTGGATCTCTACCTACATATACTTTCATGTATATGTTCCAATACAACTGCTGGTACCTTTTTCAAATAATCCATAAGTAACCTGTTTTAGATGCAGTCTTGCAATAGGTATCATATTTTTTGGTCAAATATTTCAATCCAGTATTATACTGTTATGAGAAATATGGTTTACATTGATTTTGTGATTTCTTATAGCTGTTGTCATGTAAACATTGGAATGTGAGATAATATTATGGTGATTTCTTGAACGTGATCAGGGCATGTAACTGTTAGTTATGTGTCATGTAGAGACCTAGACATCAGTTATTTGATGGCCACTTTCCATCAGGATGAGGTTCAAAGTATGCTTGTAAAGACCAATAATAGAATGGATCAGTGGGTGAGCAATCTAAGGCGCCAGGCTAGTGATACAGCGAGCTTAAAGCGCCAAGATCGAGCCCACCTGTGACCGGGTGTAAAAACCTTGGAGTCAACTTTGTGTGCAGACTCTTTCAGTGTTGTCACAACCCCTAGTGTACAGTACACAACCTGTGCACTTTAAAAGAACCCACGAATCCGTTGGTACATGACCAGATTGTCACTACTACTCACTGGAGTATATCATTTACTCTCAAAACATCACTACTTGATATATAAACACTACCCGACAAAACCAAAGTCAACAAAAACATTACGGCACATGTAGAACCTGTAAGTTCACAGGCAATAACTCTCAAAACATCACTACCTAATTATCTAAACACTACCCGGGAAGTCGACAAAAGCGGTACAGCACCTGTCTACAAACCGGGACTCAGTTTGTCGACTTCCCGGGATAACTGAAATTTCATTTGTCGACTTCCCAGGCGGACACCGTGAATGGGTACCTCATAAGGATGGGAATGCCACATTAACTTGGTGCACCTAAATGGCTGCAAGAGATGATCCCCAGGGAGTTGAGATTGAAAAATATTATGTGTTGTTGAGATTGACATCCTATGATCGAGGGAAAAACAAAGCGCTTTTGAGCAGCTGAGCTGAGCTGGAACTTGGCGCTATACAAATATCATATAATAATATGTGCCAACCAGGAATGCACATGACCAGCAAAATTCAGTCCAAATCAGATGGTATTGTCTGCACTCTCAGTGTAGAAGGGACCAAGGAAAGGAGCATGTGCAGTATGAGTGTTCATAGAACTTTTGTACCCGATAACTAAACAGTGAGGGAATATGACAGCTTCAACAGACTTGACCAATGTGTACTCGTGTCCAGCCAGTACATGTCCAGTTACACTGTAGTCTGGTGATGCTCATCAAGGCGATAGGGTAGCCTAGTAGTTAAAGTGTTTGGTCATCATGCTGAAGACCGGGTTCAATTAGTTAAAAATTTGTGTCCCAGTTGTCTTAATATTGCTGGAACATTGCTAAAAGCTGTGTAAAATTTCACTCACTCACTCACTTGCTCACTCACTCACTCACTCACTCACTCACTCACTCACTCACTCACTCACTCACTCACTCACTCACTCACTCACTCACTCACTCACTCACTCACTCACTCACTCACTCACTCACTCACTCACTCCTTAGAGTCTGTAACTACCCAGACACATGAAGGTCCAGGTTAGAATATTGATCTTCAGTAACCCATGCTTGTCGTAAGAGGCGACTAACGGCATCGGGTGGTCAGGCTCGCTGACTTGGTTGACAAACGTTATCGGTTCCCAATTGCGCAGGTCGATGCTCATGCTGTTGATAACTGGATTGTCTGGTCCAGACTCGATTATTTACAGACCGCCGCCATATAGCTGGAATATTGCTGAGTGCGGCATAGAACTCACTCACTCACTCACTCACTGTAACTACCCACCCTTTTTTCAGAGTTGGGGTCACAGTTGTCGGCCGCAGAGACAAAGTGTGACGTCCTGGAGAAACAGCTGGACTACATGAGGAAGATGGTGCACAACGTGGAGCGTGACCGCCTGGACACTGTCGCCCGCAACGTTGTTGTGGAGCAGCAGAGGGAGGAGGTGCTGCCCAGGAAGTTCAAGATACAGGCGGAACGCATCTCCGAGCTGGAGAGAGAACACCTCAAGCTGACTGCCACGCAGAACCTAGCAGAGGTACACATAGAGCAAGAACAGCCAATAACAGCATGTCGAAGTGAATTCAAACATTTTGAAAATGTTAAATTAAGACTTTTCAAGATTGCTGTTTGGATCTAGGTTACGGGTTTGGTCATCTTTAAGGGTTGAAAATTTGTCTAGAGTCAAATAGCACACACTCGACAGTCTATAAGAATATTTGTATCTTTTCATGGAGGTCACTTCGACGTGTCTTGGTTGATGCATTAAATCAAATGCTACAGTTAATTCAATATACAAGGCATGGTAGTGTTTCAAGTAACTGGTTTTCCTTGTATGCCAGGTCCATTTATTGACATTTGTTAAGTACAAGTACAATTGTAGTGTTTCTCCTGCAGTCCAAGATACGAGAACTGGAAGATAAACTAAGGGATGAAAGGTTGAACAGAAGGATGACACAACAGAGAGCTGCAGAGGTACTGGATTACTGCCTTCGTTCAGCTGTTACATGTATTGACTGTTTTAGCTGAATCTTTACCTGTGCTGGTGCCCTGATACTACCTCATCTCACTTCACTATTGGGGCAGTGAGGTAGCCTAGTGGTCAAAGCATTCGCTCGTCACGCCAAAGACCAGGGTTCAATTCCCCACATGGGTACAATGTGTGAAGCCTATTTCTAGTGCCCCCTGCCGTGATATTGCTGGAATATTGCTATAAAAAAAAGAAGATGTACATAACAATACTCACTCATTTCACTATTAAAGTTATGCCATATATATATAACATAGAACTTTTACAGATCTCTCTTGATCAGTTAGATTTTGTAATATCAAAACACTGGTAATGTTACATTAATGTTCTAAGTGGTCAAAATGGGTGGTTTATCTCTAGGTGTGGTAGGCCAATGGTCTGATGTGCAGCATTTCAGTTGCACTTTTTAGTGATCCTAGGATGCGTTTATTGTGGGTTTGATCCCTATTTACTTCAATGACCTTTTGGTGAGCAGCAGCACCATACCTGTGTACATAGCTCTCACCAATGTCTTCCACCTTCATTACGGTCTCTTTCCTTGCAAATCAAGATGACATGATATAACTGGATTCACTCCATTTTGTCATCTTCTAGCGGGAAACAGAAGCTGCAGCTCAGAGAGTGTACCTAGCTGCCGAGTCCAATGGCCGACCGCCGGTCAAAGCCAAGAAACCAACCAAGAAGAAGAAGAAGAAAGTAGTCCCGAAGAAGACGAGCAACAACACCACGAGGAAGGCTGAACCCTCCAAGCACTACAGGCTAAACCTAGCAGAGATTCCCTTTGTGGCTGGGAGGGTAAGTATGGTCACACCTATCAGAGACTGAAGATATTTGGCTTTGTGTTACCACTTTGCTGGTATTTGATTGCCTGCTGCAGAACTACAACTCCATTGGTTGGATTAATCTGTTACGTCGGAACATTCCAGGATTCCGACTTTCAGTAAGAGTGAAGTCAGTGAAAGCTCAAAGATAAATTGGTGAATTAACGCAAACATACTCACATATTTTCTTTTGTAAATATGCCAGTTGATATGCAACAACTGTTTTGGTAGAATGTCTGAAATTCACGCCTTAGAGGATACAGTTTGATGACAATCATAACACAAGCACTCTCGGATTAGATGGGATTTCATTGCAAGAATCAACTGCCAGGTCAACCAGACAGATTATTCCACATCCGGTATTCCTATTCTGATCACAAGATACACAAGACCTATCACTGTGTCGGTAAGGCTCAAAGTTTATTTCTGGCGATCCAAAACAAAGAGAAGATCAAGCGTTTATTCATCCCATTATCGGCATCTGCATCAAACAGAAGTTAATCAGCGGATACAATATCTATTTGGATAAGGACTGTCATTCTCCACGTGCCTACAAGGCAGCAGCTTGGACCACCAACAGCATCAAATCCACATGAGATCAAGGGCACTGGCCCTACCACGGTAACTGTTCCTTGAACACGATTATGGAAGGATGCTGATGGAAATCTAACATGGTATTTGCTAATCACTACCTAAGAGACATTACCGCACGATGTCTGGCATTCACCATTTGGGACCACTGGTCTCGGCTCATGCAACTGACAGTCCCTGCGAGGCGTTAAAATATTAGGCCTCACAAGATTAATATATATTTTTAACCATACTCAGTTTAGCTTAACCATTGTATATATGTTGGGCTTCCACCTTAAGCATATGCTTTAAGTCTGTTACAAGTCGCCGGAACATTCCTTAAGGATTCTTTATACAGACATCCCTTCAGTAAGAGTACAGGAAGTCAGATGAAAGCTCAGGATAAGATAAATTGAGATTTTCTTTTGTACCAAAATATTTTTTGATGTGCAACAACTGTTTTGGTGCAACAACTGTTTTGGTGGAGGCATTGGGTATTTCCATTTTGTTTGAATGTGTTATCAAAGGTTTGGGCACATGCTGTTTATGGTATGTGATACCTTTGTCTACACAGGCAACTACCCCCAGTCATTCGGTAGGAGCCAATGTCCAAAGAGTTCTGGCATGGATGAAGACGCACAGCACTGCCTTGTGCTCAGAACACTACCAGAACGGTGATATCCCCAGAACAGAGAGCGCCTCCTCCAGCTCCAGCAGCAACAGCCTTGACAACGACCTCTCCGACATCCTACTAGCGCTGCAGGATGAGTTTGGGCAGCTCAGCTGGTGAGAAGAACTTCCCGTAGATAACGGGGCCTCCTGTTGTAGATGGCCCTGTACCACCAGATCCATCTTAGAACTAGATCCACATCTTCAGCAATCCATGTTAGTTGCAAGATGTTTGAACCACTGATACTCTGGCCCAGATTTACTGACTGCCATGTTGCAGCAGGAGTATTTAACAATGATGGCCATGCTTCCAAACTATCGATATGGTTTCAGATCTGTCTGATTTAAAGAAATTTTAGTCTTCAATGCCAGCCCAAACAACTTTTGAATCAGTTGATGTCAGGCAAGTCCCAACGTGTTATTCATGGGTTGAAAATTGACAAGTTTGCAAAACTAGCTCCTTAACTCATTTTTGGAGATTGATCTACTTAACATATTCATTAGTGAATACTTGTTCCTTCAAAAACATCACACCAACTGTAAATCTGCATTGCACACACCTGTAATAATGTATGAATATGTAATTCGGTTGTTAAAGACTACCTATGTCTAAACTATCTTCATCAGTGAGCACCAGGAGCTGGTCAAGCAGATCAATGAGGTGGCTGACCACCGGGCAAGAGAAGACATGGAGAGGGAGTTAGACAGTCTCATTGTCAAGATGGACGTAAAAGGGCAGCAAATATCAAAAGTCAGACAGCATCAACAGAAGGTTAGTCCACTTTATGAATGCAGGTGTTGACAGTGGGCCAGTCACGCTGAAGACCCGGGTTCGAATCCCGAGTACAATGTGTGAAGCCCATTTCTGGTGTCCCCTACTGTGATATTGCTTGAATATAGCTAAGAGCGGTGTAGTCACTCACTGGTGTCTAGTTGAAATATTTTGGTAGCAAGATACAAGTAGGGGCCCTACAGAAATGTCAGAATTGAAGTCAATACTTTACCAAGTGACATAAGATTTCTTAAGCCTGTGAGTCAAAAATAGATGTGGATTTTCCAAATTACAAGAAATAGAAGATTGTGAAATTGTGTATTCTATTCCTAATAATATATACATGATCTTTTAGTAGTTCATGGAACTGAAGGTCAAGGTCATTGAGCAGATGCTAGTTTCTTATTTAGGAAACTGTTGGCACAAGACTTTCATTTTCAAAGATGTTGGCTGGTTGGTTGGTTTGTTTGTTGTTTAATGCGACACTTAGCAATATTCCAGCTATATGGCAGCGGTTTGTAAGTAATGGAGTCTGGACCACACAGTCCAGTGATCAACATTATGAACATCAATCTGTGCAACTAGAATACGTTGACATGTGTCAACAAAGTCAGCCAGCCTGACCACCAGTTCTAACCCTGGTCTTCAAAGAAGTACTGCATTGGGCACATGTGAAGTTACGGACGTGGGAAATGTAAATGATTCATGGTATCTTTCTGCTAGGAAGGTTTGGGCCATTCAGGAAGTGATTGAGATGGGTCTGTGTCTGTTTCTGCAGTATTGCCATGAAATTATAATTGGCCAATATGAAACTTTTACATGAAACTTTTCCTCGTTTACAGGTTGAAGATATGAAACGAAAAATAAAGACAAAAAAATCTAAAGATGCTCCTCCTCCAACACGTCCTCAGTCAGCCATGGCCAGTTTTCCCGCTAGGAGAACCTGTGACAGTTCACATTCCAATTCCAAACCAAAAACTCAATGCTGTACAAGTCAAGCATCACGGCAACACACTGCCAGTTCCCGGCAAGTTTCACTGGACGTTCTCAAAGACATGAAAAAATTACAAACAACATTACGGAAAGACGACCTATGCTGGGAATGAGTCGATGGTGCCATTGTGATATTATAACTAATTGTACAGACAAACCTATGGAATATTTATTTATGTATATACAGTGGTCACAACAGAGGCTTTTGCCACCATCTTTTAACCACAGTTGCTACAAGGAAATCTCAAGAGGAAGGCTGTGTTATTTTGTTATCTTGTTTTTGTCTTGTTTCTGTATGTTTGGAGCCAATCAGATCTGTGTTCTTGAGGTTTTTTTACGAACGAAGAATTTATTTTAAAAGAATATATAGAATAACGTTGTGCATGTCAACATACAAATCAAACCATTTTTAAGAAAGCATATTTTCAATCACACATGACCTGATATTTATTATTTCCATGGTATTAATTCACAGTAAATAACACAAATTGTTCTGGTGGGAAAACCTTAGTCCATCAATTTAAATGAAATGAAGATCTAAAAATGAACATGAAATTTGAACTTTTCAGTATTATTTGAATATGAGATTGAAAGTATTTTAATTATCACTTTATGCACATATTTCATAATATAAATTTAGCAAGTTAATATTCAAAAGATGTCAATCTTGTCAAGGTGGCTATAGAATCTTGTTTGAGTGGCATTTAGAAGTTGGTGTGCTGAACAACAAGGAGAGTTCTATGAATATACAACTTCTTTAATATAATATGAGTGACGTTTCGGTGTAGCTACTAACACCGTTGTCAAGCAAACTGTGTTAGTAGCTACACCGAAATGTCATTCATATTATATTAGAAGTTGTATATCCATAGAACTCTCCTCGTTGGCTATAGAATCATTAGTAAGCTTCAATATTTTTTGCAAAGAAATAGCGGCATTAACCCTATGCGATGGAATATTTGTCATACCTGTGACAAGCAGGCTATTTGGTTTATTACCTATAGTCATTTTTGGATGAAATGTACAAAATATATTTCGGATACCCATTATTATGATTGCATAAAACAACTTAACCCAAGTCAGCCATTGGTGAGTACTTGGTAGGATTGCACAAAGAGGAAGCAACATAATGATACAATGCATTATGGGTAATATTATTATTAGTTTAGGATGGTATGTCTGTATATATCAGCTGTATTTATATACTCAAGCCTTTGTTTTCCGTTACATGGTTCACAGAAGGTGGTTTTTTTAATCAGAAAAGTGTGTAATCAAAATAGGATTTTTATAACATATACTGAGAGAAACAAAGAAAGGATCACAGGAAAATTCAAGCGTTCCTTTAATATTTTCCAGTTTTCATCACCAGCTTTGAATAGCACTGTGGTGATGAAAACTGGAAAATAATAAAGGAACGCTTGAATTTTCCTGTGATCCTTTCTTTGTTTCTCTCAGTATATTTATAAAAAGTGATTGTTGGAATTAACTCAACGAATTGAAGTTTATTAAACATCACTTCCTGTGTTCATTATTTTTAGTGATTTTACAGTTTGGTTTATATTTTTACCCTGAAAGTAGTCAAAAGGGAGGGAAGGATTTCTGAATTTTTTTTAACTTTTGCACAGTGAACCAAGTAATTTGAAAGAAATGGCTGAGAAACATGTACAAATCAAATAACCCAAGGTGCAAATATCCGTACAGATACCTCAATATCATTGCTTTTACTTGTCTGTATTGCTCAAGGTGTTGTATTAGTGCTACATTGTATTTGTTTCACAAGAGCGAACTTTATCTCATTAACTTATGTAGAATACCTTTCACCTTACATGACAAATACAGAACCATGAAAAGGTTCACATTCTTGTTACAGATTTATTGAAATTTTAACTAATTTTAAAGTTTGGTTTTATTTTTGGTTTCTCATGACAGCTTACATGGCTGAGGCTGTTCATGAATTTTACAAATTTCTCCTGTTTTCTTTATCTCTGAATCTTCATGCTCCATTTCTTACACAGGTGAACACACATGTAAATTGTCTGTATGTTATTGAGGTGGACTATATGTAGTGTTTTCTTTGTTACATTTGCTCACAGGATGAGGCGATCTATAGCATGTATAGTGACACTTGTTTCAGTTTAATGCATTCCACTGTCCTGCTTATTCCAGCTTTAGTTACTTATTCCTCAGTGTTTCCATTCCATAGTTCCTTGTTTTAGAAGATACCCACTGAATCTGTCGCGCATGAATACACTCATACATACAGCAGATGATCTGGGGCTGCTCTGATGCCCAGCTTCATAGGTTTCAGCAGAGGGCAGACTTTTGGATTCTGACCCAGTCTTCAGTGATGCTGTAAAGCCAGGAATAGCTGCAATATTGCTGATGTGGCGTAAAGCAACATTTCCTCACTCATTAAAGCTATACCTTGTATGTGCCACTAATGAAAGAAATAATGCATTTCTGGATCAGTATCTCTGTGTTGGTCAGTTAGATACAGGTGAGTGTCGTGACACACTAGGGTATCCAGGGGTGGAAATAACCCATTGCCCGACGTCCGAGTCCAGTGTTTTTTCTGTCGGGCAAGCAAATTTGTATATCACACTGTACCGGTGTCCAGTTGACTTTCCAATGTTTATTATGTTGTTTATTTAAAAAATCAGCAAGAAAACGGTTGGTATAGTGGGAAAATAATCAGGGCAAGTGACTTTACATGTGCCACTGTACCGGAGTACACTATCAATTTTAAACTTATTTCCACCCCTGGTATCTGTTAATCATCCATTCCCAGTGTCATCAACATCTGCCTGGGGTTGACGTATCAAAAAGATGCACACATTCATACACAGTGTAACATCTCTTCACGTGAAAACAGTTTATGATTTAGAGCTGCACTTATGCTCAACCTCAGATAAGTGGTCTGATCATCCAAGTCATGATACATGCTGGAAATATAACATTTTGAAAAGTTCATTAAAATGTTTATCATTACTTTAAGTAGTACCCATGCTTGACATAACAGCCAACCACAGTATATAACAAGGGGCAGCAGTGATACTGAACATCTGAAGGTTTGGGGAAAGGACTGACATGGATTTCCATCCTGTGTTCATTGGCACTACAGCCTGTAAATGTCGCTTATTACAGAAGTATACCTCGATACAACTGCAGATACAGTTAAGTGTCATGATACCTCAGTGCATCGGTTGAATCATTCCATCCCGAGTCAACATCTTCATCAGTATTTTTCGCGCATTCCTTAGTGCATTCAGTGCTCAATGATTGCTGTAACAGTCAACGCCTCGTTGCTCTGATACTGCTAGAACATTAGTAAAACAGCATAAAGCAACATTCAGTTACATGTAACTTTATTTATCAGCCATATAATGTCATGTTAGCATCTTGTGCCTTTCTCAGAAGAATCACTGTGCCATTGATTATGCCTGTATAGTTACTGGTATGTGTGTGCTGTTGTGTCTGTAGTACCTGCTGTGATCCTGTCTCTGTCTCGCTGTTGTTACTGTCTCACTGTTGTCACTGTACTCGGTAAACAGACTTAAACTGGACCTTCTCCATATAATTATTCTGGAGTCAAAATAATAATAATATCTTGTGCATAACCATGATCATAAACTATTATCATTGCTTTGTAAGTAGAGTGAGGCAAAAAGCATCATTTGAGGTATTTTTGTGCTTAGTGAAAGTGAAAGTCTTCATTGGAAAAGTCTTCATCAGCTTCGAGCTGGATACCTCATTACCTGATAAGTTATCAAAGGGAGACAATCCATTAACTGTTCTTCCAGGTGTGGTATGGAAAGTAAAGGGCCACAAATGGCTCCAATTGCCTTTGATAATCTTCCACTACACTGCACTTCCATATTTGCTATATGTGACAGAACAAAACCTATTAGACTGTACAAAAGTTTCATTTATCTTATTTTTAAAGAAAATGCACATTATTGTATTCTTCACAAATGTTTCAATTGTTCAATGCTAGTTATGCAAATAACAAAGACCAAAACGATTACAAAGAAAAAGACAGTTACCCCAAGATCTCTTTGCACATTCCTTATGTTTTATCCGAGAAAGTTTCTAATAGGTTTTGTCCTATCTATATTCAACATATGTGCCTTCCAGCATTTTTTAAGATCAGAGAGATATTATACAGATGACATTTGTATATTTCATTGTTTAGATACGATAGATAATGAGTACCACTACTTGATTGGGATGTACACGTTCTGTTGTGAGAACAAAAGAGAAGGCAAACCCGAGGCCTTGTTCTTGTGACAGTTCGTTAATGCCACGACAAACTACTGGGACAGGTTCTCTATCTGTTTTAGAGCACAGGCAAATACTCATGTTCCATGACCTAAACACTACACAAATTGAACCATTCACATTCAGATACAACACAGTTTGATATAAACTACCCCACCATGCCCGTAACTCTCTCTGTACTTTATGAGCATATGAATGTGTTCCATATGACTGAAATAGTGACCATGCATGGAATAACTAATTGCCAGGTTCCGATTTCTCGGAAACTTAAAAGTTTCTACTCAAATTTCAAACTGAGTTGGACAATTTGAAACAGCTGAAGTTTTAACTCAACTGCATTTTTTAAATAAAAAAGCCCAAACAACTTAAGTAATCTATCCACCAAACTCAAATTGTCAACTATGTTTGAGTTTAATATCGATTTTAGTTCATTATTGGAAATGCATTTTTTCAAATTTGAGTAAAAACTCTAACTTAAGTCGAAACTCATACTTAAGTTTGTTTTTCGAGAAATCAGGGCCTGAACTCTGATTATGTATGGATAATGTAAGTAAGATACATTGTCATAAAAACTAATTGATCAAGTACACATGAAGTAAAAGCGTCGATATTGGCAGGCTCAGAATAAACCAATGTGTAACAAAGAGTAAAATGTATGATAGCACTCGAATGCCTTTCAAGGTGGCAGTACAGCATTCTGTTACATGCCTATGTGATTCCATATTAATACTCATTCCATATTGTTGCTTTAACAGAGAGGAATTTATAACCAGATGAAATGCGTCTATATTTTAATAGTGCCTTCAGCTTCCCCCAGACTCTAGCATCAGCCTTGTACAAAGCCATGATATTTTTATTGTCAGTACTTTTTGGATTTTATGTATTTTCGATGCTGCATTTTCAGAAAGTATTTCTGACATACACCCCATGCATCAAGACAATGGATACTGCACACTCGTCATACCTGAAATTGATAATTTTGTGGACTTTCTCATTATATGGACTTATTCCTTCGGATAGTTTGTCTTTTAAATCAACTCTAATTTCTGCCTCATTTTCAACCCATTACTGTCTTATTCTAGTATGAGCGCTAAGAGTAGGAGATGAATCTTGTACAATCTTTAAACATTACCTCCCACCTACACCATCAGTATCATACAGGAATGTCAGACCGTGATATGACCAACACTATTGATCCTTCGGTTGAAACAAGTATGGAGCCTGATGGGGGTTGACAACTGGGAATTTAATGGGGGATTCAACATTTCATGTACAAAGGAAATACCATGCGATATACTATAAAAAAGAATCATTGTTTCTATTTTTGTTCTGGGTAATATTTGAACTGGACAGTCCTGTTGAATCAACTTAAGGTTTTTCAAAGAACGGGATGGTCCTTAGCACAGTTTTAGTGGAATTCTTTGGGAATTCTGGTTTGAATGGGAACAATAAATATTTTTTTTTAGTCAATGTATCAAGACATATTTT